ATTGCAGAGCATCCAAAAAATATTATATGTGATTGGTCGTTTAAAGGTGCTCGAGTAACTCCAAATGGCGAAAATTATGTGGTGGTTAATGCTGACTGTATCAATTGTCGTTCTAAATTATTTGCTTTTTTGAAAACAAAGCCAATCGAAAATGAAGACGTCACATTTAAATGTATTGTGAAAGGTTTTGATGAAACACGTCATAAGGAAACAAATAAAAAAGTGAAGGTATCTGGTGCGCAGGCACAATCTCTTGCGACTTCATCTAAACCTGCTATTACTCTTCACCGAAAAATTACAGCAAAATCAGGCAAAATGTTTGAGTTGCCAAAAGGTCGAGTGCCCACGGCAAATGCTATAAGAAACTTAAAGTCTCGAAATCGTGCAAAGCAAAGACTCTCTTCTGATACCTTTCAATCTTTGCTATATTTGCAAGCATCTAAGAAATATGTTCAAACGATTCACATGATTGGTCTTTCGCCATTTTTCGTAATTTTTGGGAGCAACAATCAATTCCGATTATATAACGTCTATGAAAAAAAGAACCCTGTATCGAAAATAAGTTGTGATGCAACTGGAGGTGTTGTTCGCAAAATAGGTAAATGTGTCAATTGACAGACAATTTGAAAGCATATTCGATTTTGAAATTCCAATCATTTTCTTATTTAGTGCGTTCGGGTGGCAATAAAAGTGGCAGCATTTACTTATACGCATTAGTTGTATCGGATGGATATCAAGTGCCGATTTTTTCTATGCTGTCCGAAAAACATGACGCAAACTTTATAACTTTTTGGCTAACGGAGTGGCTTCGTCTCGGCGGTAGTATCCCAAAAGAATTTACATCTGATATGTCACTTGCTATTTTACATGCAGCCGCGAGAACTTTTGCTAAATACTCAAGCCTCGACTCATATATTGATACAATATTCAAACGTGTTACTTCAAATGATAATCATACTAGTCCAACTCCTGAATGTTTCATTCGAATTGATTTTAACCATTTAATGAAAAATGTTACGTCGAGTAAAGCATTTACTAACGTACGTCCCAAAGTCAAAGAATTCTTTACACGATGTGTGACTGAGCTTATTAAAATAACAGATTTTTCCGAAGCAAGGCGCCATATTTCTGATGTTCTAACTGTGGCGTACTCACAAACTGAAGGTAAGTTTTCGTTTAACAAATATATTCATAAAAAAGTAAGACTTTTTTATCCGCTTTATTTTTCAAAGGTGTTAGCACAAATACCAATCTAGAGGCAGCTTGTGAAATATCAAAGAGACGTATCACACAAAAAATTATCGGCAGTGATTTCTCCATAGACGATTCTGAATACAATGAAAGCGACGAAAGTGATTTACGTCACATTAATGAACAATCAAACCTTCTAAATGAAACTGATGAAAAAGCGTCGCTTGGACAATGGTTGAAACAAATCGATGATGAAGTCCAACTTACTGTACAAGACGGGGACGATGGTAACAGAGATAACATCATGCTGAATAAAGAGTTTGCGAAGCACTTTTTAAGGCTATGTAAATTGCTTCCGTTGTGGAGCGGAATTAGCTGTAAAGTGTTTGGATCAAATGCTGTGACTAGCTCATCGGCAAACATAGAAAGCTATTTCAAAGATGTTAAACACACTCTGAAAGAGATAATTCCTGCAGACGCTGATGTATTTTTACAGAATCATCTTGATGGTATTAATGATTCCATTATAACTGCGTCTCAAAAATATGCCAGACTTATTGAATGTATGCCAGAGAAAAACAAAAATGCAGAAGATTTAACAAATTTGATTTTCGATCAGATATCTCATGATGACGATTCAGATTTTGATGATCGTCAACTGTTTACACCTCCGTCATCAGACGATAACAATAATAGCATCTGTAAGCCAAATGAAGAAAATACACCAAATGATGGAATTACACAAACGAGTGCAACAACAAACTTATGCATACCATCCAGTCCTGTAAACAGTCCACATGCACCTGAAAAATGCATTGCTTGTAGTCAAGGAAACTTTCCGACTGGTGCCCACAAATGCATTAAATGTAATAAAGATGTGCATACACTTCCTGGATGTTCAATATCAATTGGCGAAGAAGGTTATGGCGCAAAACAAATTTGCGTGTTATGTCATGAGGAGGAGCAAAAATCCAAGCAAACTCAAGCTGTTAAGGAAATGAACTCCCAAGAACAGTGGAGTTCAAAAAAGAGGAGAGGAAAGGAAAGTTATTATCTTCAAAATAATCCTGCATTTAATTTAACGAGTGAAACACAAAAAACCAATATCAAGCTGCTAAAAAATGGCTCAAAATCAAAAAGTATGAGCCGCGTGAAGGGGCAGCTCGTATTTTTATCAAATACATGTGCATTTGATTCTCTTGTTCAGGCATTGGCAGGTGCCTACGCATATAACTTGAGCTATCGAACAAGCATTGACAAAAGCAAAACAAAAGATCGATTGATGGAAATTGCAATTTCTTTGACAAGCGGGTAAGTTATTTTAATTTTTGATTCATATTAATATTAACATTATTTAATATTCACAATATTTTTTTAACATCATTGAACAGTGTAAACATGACAAGAATAAAAATCATGCGACTCAAATTGCTCAATGAACACTTTTCTAAAAATGTGGCAATGACATTTCCTGGAATGATCCAGAAAGTATTAACCATCCCAAGCTACTATGATACTGAATGCTGCACCAAACTGGTCAAAAAATTTGCTAATATTTGTTTAAATAATGATGTTTTGAAGGATGATCTCTCAAACATCCAACAGGCCATCGAAAGCAATTTTATTGAAAATCCAGTTTGTGATCGCTGTAAAAGGAAGCCGAAATACAAAAGAGAATTCTCGAATCATATTTTTGTCGAAGTAAGATACTCAATAATTATACAGGAGATTCGCTAAGGAATTTATTCTAGAATTGGACACCGATTTGTTAATGAAAAAATTTCTATCTATGATTTCTAACAGGTAAATCCTCGCGAAAGTTTATCTGCTGAAACCGATCTTGGGCGAATGCTACAACATAATTTAGATAAAATACCACTGTCAATTACTTTGGGAGGTAAACTGTACCAACTGTCAGCAGCAATCCTTTTTGACCCACCATCCGTTCTAGAGAAAGATATAATAGGTCATTACTCTGCTGCTATACGATTCAATAAAACGTGGGAACTATTTGATGATCTAAGGGAAAATACATTTTCAATGTCGGGTGACACTGAGGTTACTATACACAGTGCTTTATATACAATATTAAAAAAATAAGAAACTGTAGAATTTTTAATAATTTTGACGCTCACTGATGATGGTTTCTCAGTTGAAACTGAAATGCATTCAGTATATAAATAAGGTTATTTCACTTTTTTTACATAAATAAGAAACTATTTTGTCATAAATCTTTCATTCAAATAAATGAATTGAGATTTTCAAAAAATGTTTTTTTTTACTTTTTTAAGAAAAAAATAGAGGTTCATACATACATTTTTTTGAAAAAACGGCATTTTTTCGACTTTGGACGAATTGTGCTCGA